CGGCATTGGATATGAAGGCTATTTCAGGAGGGGGTGGGGGATTTGGGCCAGGAGGGATACGGGGGAGTGGAACGCCTCAGATTGGGGGAGGTGGGAAGGCAAGGGAGGCATTGTGGCAGAGAATTGGAAGTTGTATGGATCAGTTGCATTCCATTATGGTTGCTGTTTGGCACTTGCAGAGGGTTCTGTCCAAGAAGAGGGATCCATTTACGCATGTGTTGCTGCTTGATGAGGTCATTAAGGTAAAATTTTTATGTCTTTAGATAGTGAACTACTTAGTTGTGATGTACATTAGATTAGAGATAAAGCAGCTTAGTTCTGTTGAGTTCATTTTTTTTTTTTTTCAGAACAATGGTTGGTATTAATATTAGGAATTTCACAGAAAGTGGCATTTCGTTTTAGGGTCTTTTTTTTAATTTTTTATTTTTCCAAATCAGTAATGAACATCACTTGGTAATCTTTTATGTTTCAATTGTGATCCTCTTGTAGTTATTTAAGAACCATGTCTGATCCAGGAAGGAAATATTTTTTAGGTTTAAACTTGGAGGAGCCAGATGGTTCTTTGTTATATCTTCCTTTTCTTGATAAAGAAGTGTTGTTTGTTTAGTTCAATCTAGGAAAAAGGTTAACTAGCCAGTGTAGCTCTTGGTTAGTTGAAAGAACCCTTCTTGTTTTGCACTATTATTTTTGTTGACACATACTTTTTCATGCCATCAACATGAAAACTTTGCTGGTAATTGGGCTGGATGGTACTAATTCTTATAAACAGGTTTACGTAATTGTGTTCCCATGTTATATCATCTCTTTGTGGATCTTCTCTTTTATCATTGAGTCCGGTTCTCATCGTTAATATTCTGTCAGATTTCTGTGCAACAATTCTGTATATTGGATTCTTGATCAAAACTGATCCAATTCCTTATCTTTGTTGTTTTTCTTAATCTAATTGTTTGCATGAGTTCTATTATTTGCTTCTGGATGATGATAGGATAGTATGGATACTTTGAATTGTAATTCCATTTTGACTTCGAGTGTGCCCTTACATAATATGACTTCTTGCTGCTCTTGCCTTGAATATCGTTGCCTTTTTGTGGCCAGCTATTGCCTCTGCCATTTTAACCCAACATTTCCTTCTTTCTTACATTTGCTTATTATTTGCCCAGGAGGGTGATTTCATGTTGACAGATAGAGTTTGGGAGGCACTTGTAAAGGCTTTTGCTAGCCAAATGAAATCTGCTTTTACTGCCTCAAGTTTTGTCAAAGAGATATTTACAAATGGGTATCCGAAGCTCTTTTCTATGATTGAAAACCTTCTTGAAGGAATTTCACGTGACACCGATGTCAAAGGGGTTGTGCCAGCAATCAGTTCAGGGGGAAAAGATCAAATGGTTGCAGCTATTGCCACATTTCAGACAGCTTTTCTAACTAGCGTCTTAGGCCGGTTGTCAGATCTTGTAAATTCTGTATTTCCAGTTTCCAGCCGTGGTAGTGTTCCTTCAAAAGAGCAGATCTCAAGAATTACATCACGAATTCAAGAAGAAATTGAAGCAGTTCAGTTGGATGCACGTTTGACTCTTCTTGTCTTGCGTGAAATTAGCAAGGTTTTGCTTCTGATTGCAGAACGAGCTGAATACCAGGTATGTTCTTTCTCTCCGTTGAATATGAGTAAATCTGATTCTCTTATTGTTAATAAGGATAACTCATTTTGCATACTTGTATTGGTAATAATTCATTATAAGAGCCATATTGCATGCATGAGGCTGTTGAAAGGTGTGTTTAGGGACAGTATAGGATATGATTTGAAGTAATCGTTAATCCTATAACTCATGCTATTTAAGTAAGTTCTCTTATTGTATAACTCTGCGATTGCTGCTAATACTTTATAGCTTAAAGTCAGGATAATGTCAACTTTTGGATAAATGATTGAAGTAATGCATCGAGGACTAAAGTCAATGCTCATTTTTCTATTCCTTTCAAGTTTTATGTCACGCTGAAAGAATGCAATCATTTGAATTTAAAAGGCCATTGTTGGCAGTTTCCTGAAATCTCTACTTGTGCCTGCTTGGCCAGTTTGCAAGAAGCTTGGTGTCTGAATGTTAATTCTTGGATGGTGAAACCGTCCAAAATTTGTTGCTATAATGCCACAATGGCAGAAGGAGATTGCAAAAATTACAGTCATCATCCTATTTTTCTTTCTTAGTCTTACATATGATGAAGCATGATTATGCATAAATCATCTCATATTGGAGAAAAGAATAATCTCTTCTAAATCTTCTCAGGATGTTAGGGATTTATTGTGCCTTGTGCTTTTATTGCACTGTATGTGATGAAATGATATGCTTGTATTATGTTGGTTCCTTTTCTGAGGCATGCTCCTTAAAACTTCTGAAAATCGGGGCAATACTTATGTCTCAACTGGTGGATGGATTGTATTTTAAGATTATTACTATCTTCAGATGATGTCACTGCCCACAGTAATTAGGTTTACTTTTTTTCTCTTGGAAATTAAATGGCTGCAATATGATGGCAGATATCTGCTGGTCCCGAAGCGCGCCAAGTAACTGGTCCTGCAACACCAGCTCAAATCAAGAACTTTGCATTATGTCAGCATCTGCAGGAAATTCATACACGTGTATCCTCTATGATGACAGGCCTGCCAGCTATTGCTACTGATGTGTTGTCAGCATCACTGGGTGCAATATATGGGGTTGCTTGTGACTCTGTAACTGCTTTATTCCAAGCGATGATTGATCGTCTTGAGTCCTGCATCCTGCAAATTCATGACCAGAACTTTGCTGTGCTTGGTATGGATGCTGCTGTGGACAATAATGCTTCACCTTACATGGAGGAGTTGCAGAAATCCATTCTTCACTTTCGTAGTGAGTTCCTATCTAGGCTGTTGCCATCTAGAGCAAATTCTGCAACTGGAGGGACAGAAACTATATGCACTACACTTGTTAGGAGGATGGCTTCACGGGTTTTGATATTCTTTATCAGGCATGCCTCTCTTGTAAAACCCCTTTCAGAATCAGGGAAATTAAGGATGGCTAGAGACATGGCTGAGCTGGAATTAGCCGTTGGCCAGAATTTGTTCCCAGTAGAACAACTTGGTGCCCCCTACCGAGCTCTTCGGGCATTCCGACCCCTTATTTTCTTGGAAACATCTCAACTGGGAGTGTCTCCTCTGCTTCAAGATCTGCCCCCAAGTGTCATACTTCATCATCTTTATTCTCGTGGACCTGAAGAATTGCAGTCACCTCTCCAGAGGAACAAACTTACTCCAATGCAATACTCATTATGGCTGGATTCTCATGGGGAAGACCAGATCTGGAAAGGAATCAAAGCAACTCTGGATGATTATGCTGCAAAGGTTAGGTCAAGAGGAGACAAGGAATTCAGCCCTGTGTATCCTCTTATGCTTCAACTAGGGTCTTCTTTGACTGAAAATGCACCTCCATCCCAAAAACAATGATACCTATCCAATATTGCGTGCTCTAAAATTTCAGGAGAAAACCTAATGGCCTCCACCAAGATTTTGTTTTAGGTAAAATGTCAACTACAGGAGCAATTGAGCAAGTTCAGTTTCATATTTTCAAATTCATTGCAAACTCAGGAATTTGAATTGATTGTTTTTCTGCTTGTTTACCATTTCTTCAATGTTAAATAGATCTTATAAATCATACGGGTCTGCTTTTTTTTATCAAAATTATGTACAATTTGGTGACTTTGTACAACTAACAGTGATAATAATTTTAGTTTCTCCTATCAATTTTTGATTTGTTATCTGATAAAGAAAATTTGAACATCGTCTCAATTTTGATTTGTCTTCTCAATTTTGATATGTCTTCTTCTCAATTTTGATTTCTCTTCTCAATTTT